TAAAATACTTTTAACATTCTTTAGAAATGAAAATATAAACAGTATTAACAGCACAGTACTAGGTTATTTCATACAAAAACAATTTTTTTTAGAGAATCAAAATTATTCTAATTTATTCACTCTTTTCCCTTTAGCTGGAAAATTATGCTAATTATTTTACTTAGATCAACGCATCACAGTAGTCAAGAAATCAAAACATGTTGTACAGCAATGAGCCTAAAAAAAAAAAAATCAACCAATCAAAAGATGTGCTACTTGAGGTAAAACTACTTACTGTCAAAAACCTCTTTAAAGACTAAGGAGGTAAGTTCAAAGAATAAAGTGTTTCTGACTCAAACCACAGTATTTTCAACTGCTTCATATGCATATGAAAGGTGGACAATAAATAAGGAAGACTAAAGAAAAAGTGATGCTTTTGAATTGTGGTGTTCACACAGAGTAATAACTATCCCATGAACGGCCAAAAGAACAAACAAATTTGTCTTAGAAGAAGTACAACCTGGGTGCTTGTTAGAGGCAAAGATAGTGACACTTCGAGCATACTGTGAGGGGACAGTCCTTGGAAAACCACATTATGTTTGGAGAAGGAGAAAGTCTGTGAAGAAGATGAAGAGCTTCAACGAGATGGTCTGACACAGTATCACAATGATAGGAATGGCCATAACAAGAGACTCTGAGGATGGTTCAGGATAGGTAACACTCAATTTATTGTTCATGGCGTCCCTGAGTCATGGTCAACTTGCTGGCACCAAACAACCACCACCACCAAAGGCCCCTGTAAAATTCTGTCATCCATTATAACTGTCAGTCTAAAGCCACACAGTTCTAATCTGCTTTGTGTACAATGTTAACAGGTGCTCTCAAGTGAGCCCTTGACTCATGGATTCCTGCTATACAGTGAGATCAGGCAGATTTGAGCATATTCATTGGCTGATGGGATAGACAGCTGGGAGGCCTTTCTCCCAAGTCTACCTTAGTTTAGAAGCTCCCCTGAAACATACTTAGTATTACAGGAATGCACAGGCTTCCAATGGGTGGGTGAAAGCTGACCTGGAGATGCACTGGCTAGGGACCAAAACACACAATGCTATCTATGGAGCACTTAAAAAGTAAAACATCTTCAACTGTAGTAAAATACTATTTATTACAAATGATTTTTTTTAACTGTGGCAAATATAGGCGACAAATTGTTTGCATTTTAACATTCTTCACAAGTACAAATCAATGTACCATGTTAACCATTAGCATACATCAATTTCTGAGTTGTCCAATCCTCTTTAAAGCTCTGCATCTACTAAGCAGTGTTTTTCTTCTGTTCCCTCATATCCATTTGTATTAACTTACCTATGACAGGTATTTCATATCTGTCACGCATGACAGATTCAATGACTCATACAAGTTGAGTCATACAATGCTAGTGCTTTTGTGACTGATTTATTTTACGTAATGTTTCAACATGAAGCCCAAATGTGAAATGGAAAGATTTGGTGTGCACACTGACTGGGCCACCAGTTCAAGAGGTTTATTTATAATTCAGGCTTTTAATGGATAAAAAATGAAATATGATACTGTGGGTAGAAAAAAGAAACAAAAATATGAACAAAGTATAAAAAAAATACAACTCAGGCCATTTACAGGATGGCTTCCAGAGAGCAGGTGTGAACAGGGGAACTACAGTTGTTAAAAGCTTTTCAGTGTCATCTGGCTGTTAACTGATGTCTCTCCTGTGAGTTTCTCATCTTCACTCCATTCACTAACTGGACTTACAACCATACACATTTGGTTCTAATAATTTTCCAAATTTTAGGAACTGAACAGCAACAAAGAGACATTGTTAAAAACTTGATACATAAAACAAACTCGATTAGACACATAAAACAAAACAAACTCAATTATTCAAAAGAAACTATGGCATAAGGTATAGAGGAAACAAAAGGGTACTTTAGGAAAGGCATAATCTGGTGGGTGTATGGGGCTAAATTGTGGTTTTTATCATTTTCTAGTGGCAGGTTTCCTAACCTATGGAAAGGAAAAGTAATAGAATTTATTTCAGAAGGTAATGGGAAGACTAAATGAGATTAAAAACCTCAAACTCTTGGCCATCAAGCCAGATCTGACTCAGATTTCCAGGCCTGTAAACGGCACAGGAGGTGACTGATCATCTTTTCGCCTCGAAGCCACGGGTGGATTTGAACTGCCAAAGGCACAGCCTTTGGGTTAGAAGTGCAACTCCCTGTAGACTAGGACATCATAGCTCCTTTTCATATGAAATCACATATGCAACATAGTTATTGCTGTGTGTGCAGGCAAATGTTCTATTTAATGAGCACTCCTACTATTATTACCAAAGTTGCTGACAACAATGATGACCATTACTAATGACTACTGGTGAAAGGTACATTGTGTTATGTCCATTCCTAACATTACTTAACCTTTGTAATAATCTTACAATTAGGTACCACCACCACCCTCTTTGGAGGATAATGGCAGCAAGATGAAGTAATCCGTGCCCAAAGTCACACAGTGAGACTGGCCTAATCTAAAGATGGTGTTTAATTACCAAAGCCAAATTGTAAACCACAAGAAATTGCAGTTGAAATGGAATGATATTCATCAAGGTTTCTGGTTTTAATAGTGTAGTACCAGAAGCTTTGAAAATCTGCATTAGCCCCTATTCGGACACAGTCTGCAGCTACCTTAATTGCAAGATACTTGGTCTTGCAAATCATCAGCAAATGTAGGACCAATATAAGAGAGAGCTTTCCACACTATGGTGGGTTGGGGGCATGGGGTACTGTGAAGACACTGTGAAAGATAGTGCTAGAGAACAGGTGAAGAGACTGTGGTACTGCTGTTTAGTAACTGTGGCAAGGTGTAATCAGAGGAATCTTGGAGATGGAGACACAGTTAAAGGTTTGCTTGCTGGATGATCAGAATCAAAAGCTAACTTGTAACTGCTGACATAAATTTGCTAGATTGAGGAAAGCAGAGGTTTATTTGCGCTGCTGAACTGAATTTAGCCTTTCACTTATTGAGTGAGAAGCTGAATGAGGAATTGTGTATTGTTAATCTGACTTGGGACTGCTGGACTAAACCTGGATTTGCACTGTGTGATATACTTTGCCTCACTACCCTCTCCCTGCCCAAATCTATTTCTCTAATAATGCCCACAACAGTGAGTAAAGTTTGTTAGTCAATTTGCAACAAATAATGGACACAATGATCCACAGAAATAGGTATAGGAGCATGTAGGGTGGCATATCTGACCACCTAGTTATTGATATGGTATTATAGATATACTGATAAGGAAAAGTTCCCCTTTATGACATAGGTAGAAGTCAAATTCAACCTCCATCACATTGCAGCTGCTCCTTTTACAAAGAGCCATTAAGAAGAAATGAAAACTTACATCTGCTTGATGACTGACAAACCCATTTATATCCTAAAGTGCTGGATTGCTGCTACCTGACACAGTTAATAAGCATCACTATGCAGAGGCAGCTACAGGATCAAGCCTCACATAGATAGCAAAGCACTAAATAATTGTAAAGAGAATTCATTTTCATTATTTAGGAGCCAAAGTAAAAGCCACTGTAAGCACTTTCATCTTTTAGTAAATTTTAAATCCCTTGCAGAATGCTTAAGCCTAAGAAGAATGCTAAATAACAGAGCAGTAAAGGGTGAAGGGTCCAGGATGAAAAAGTACAGAGTCCCTGGTTCTTGTCTCCTAAAAGCTTTAGAGTAACTCTATGAATTCATTTCTTAGGACACTTTTATGTTAAAAATCACGTAAGAATTTTCACCTACATTACAACACCATTCAAAAGTTTAAATGCAACTTATAAACCAAAAAGTGACCACCCAAATGTCATTGTCCTCTACTGGAATATATACTAAAAGGAGTCCTGTGGCCTACTGTACAAGGAGCTGTGCTGCCAACTCAAAGGCATGTAGCTTGCGTCCACAGAAGGTGGGCAGTCGCCTGCTGTGCCATTTACAGCTTCTCACAACCTGCAGGAGGGTCAGCTCAGAGTCAGCTCTGACTCCACAGCAAGGAATTTTTGACTCTTATTAGAATGTAAGTAAACTGTAGTGTCTTTATTTCTTTTAAACACAGATTCCTTCATATGTGAAGAAAAATTGTATTCCTTTAGACAAAAAGGATTCTTTTTTTTTTATTTTAAATCCAATATTTTAATCGTCATTACGTGAACACAAGAATGGTTCTAAAGTCTATCAAGTTAAAGACATTGTCTAATAATTTACATAGGATGACTATGACTCCTTCATACAATGAAAGTGATTTGACATAGCAAACTTAAATATTTTACTGAAATTTTCATACAGTCCTTTGGTCTATTGTCTGATGTAATCTCTCTCTCTTTTTTAATTTATTCATTCATTGCTGCACATTTTCCTGTCTTCCATCCCCTAGTACACTTTGCAATGCACTTTTTCCGATTGTTGTCATACATATAATACCTAATCATATATTTCTTTTCGACCATTCTTCCTCTCACCTGTCCCAATGCAATGTTCATTGTCTATCCATTCTTTTTCTATTCTCCCTTCATGTCAATTCTATAACAGCAGTGTTTGACACTTTATTTTTTAAAAAAGCCAAACTATACTACTAAACAGATGTATGTGAAAATAATGGTTGAGATAGGTCTTTATCCCAAAGCTAAATCATAGAAACCTTAAAAAAGGTTTTCTAGATTAAGAATCACATATTTTGGAGGAAGTGGTAGTGTGGAGAAAGTATTAGCTACTTTTCCTTTGCCTTATGCAGACAACCTTTTGAAATAACTAAATTTGTAATGGGGGGGGGGAAGCAGATAGACAAAAAGGATTCTTTTGATAGCAAGCTGCATGGTCATAAATGAAGTAAGACTGCTAACAAATGTTCTGATGCCAAAGCTCTTACGCGGCAGTCATAGCCCAACTGAGCAGGCAGCACAGCTTTCAAGGTCGGAAGCTTTCAGATTTTTCTTTCTTACCTGGCCTGTTGGTGGCTGCCATAATAAACACCTGTTGCCGTGCTTCCAGACCATCCATCTCTGTGAGTAACTGGTTCACCACGCGGACACTTGCCCCTGACTAAACAGAAACAGAATTCCATCAGCCTCTCATGAGAAGGGGGAAAACAGTAATAGAACACACACACCAAAGTTATTTACACATACAGTAACATCTTTGTTAAGCTGAATAAAAGCTTCTGTCAAAGATAAAAGTGATCATCTTCTGAAGACTCAGTTTATCCAGGTACTCTTAGGATCCACAATCAACACCTCTGGCACCAGGAAAAGCCAAAAGACACTTTATATGGGGAAAATCTCCTTACAAAGACATCTCCAACATACTTCAGAACAATGATGTCAGTTTCTTTTCAATTACTTTCTAAGTGTCTGGAAGTTGGACAATGACTAAGAATGACAGAAGAATCTATGTCTTTGAGTTATAGTGCTGGATAAGAGGACTGAATATCCATAGACTGCCAAAAGAATAAACAGATATGTCCTGGAAAAAAGTGCAGCCAGGGTGCTCCTTATCTCACTCATACTTTGAGTATGTTGCTAGGAGGGGCCAGTCTTTGGAAAAGGTCAACATAAGAGAGGAAGACCTTCAAAAAGACAGACTGACACAGTGACTGTAATAATGGCTTAAGTCAGAGATGATGAAGATGGCACAGCATAGGGGGTTCAGATCTGTTGCTGATAGGGTTGCTAAGACTCCTATTCAACTCGACGGCACTTAATAACATGCAAAATTTGCTCTCATCACCCTTCTCCTACTTCTCAATAATGTTATCAAAGATTTAGATGAGGTTTAGGGAGGCTATCTGTTCAAGGTCTTGACTCTAGTGGATAGAGGCAAAACTCAAGTTTGGGGCTAGCTGACCTCTCAACTTAGGTCTCAGAATTATTTAAATATCTGCTGTTGTTGTTAGGTGCTGTTGAATCAGCTGTGACACATGATGATCCTGTATACAACAGAATGGAAGCCTACCTGATCCTACACCAGGATCACAACCACTGTGGTCCTACTGCCCATTGCTGCAGCCGCTGTTCACCATCTGGTTGAGCATCTTTCTCTTTCTCCACAATTAAACACAGTCTCAACTTTAGAACTCCAGACTCCCCAGAATATCAAGTCTTCTAGATCAGGGAAATATGACAGAGCATGTGGGACACTATGGTCTGCTTTTCTGTCCTTGAAGCATGTGCCAACAACTGAGAAAAAGGTTCAGAGAGTTGGTAAAACAAAAGATGCAGAAAAGTAGAGGAAACAAGAAAAGTTGTGGTTTCTTTTCTACATTAATTGGCTTGCTTCAACATAAATGCTACATACATGTACTGGTGATGAGGAGTTTAATCTACTGATTTTTCCAGAACAAATATTTGGGCTATCTATTATCACTTCTTATTCATTAATGAAGAAGATTCACTAACAACCTGTGATACATGAAAGATACAACCTTGCTCTAAGTGAAGAACACATGATGCACTAAATAAAGATAAAAATGATGGCTTCCAGGATTAGACAGCAACAGAAAAAAAACCCCAAAAATCTTCTCTACTATGACAATAAGAATTGCTATAAACAGAAAAATATTGCAGTTGTATTCGATGTCATTTTGCCTGAAGCCACCATGGAAGCCCACTCAAGAAATCAAACAGGATATTGCACTATGCAAATGCATAGCAAAGAACCTTATAACAGTGTTAAAGACTAAAGATGTCACTTTGAGGACTAAGGTGTGCTTTACCAAAACCAAAACCATGGTATTTTCTATTGGTTCTTATGCATGTCAAAGCTGGACAATGAATAAAAAACATTGAACAATTAATACTTTTGAGTTATGGTGTTAGGGAAGAATACTGAATGTACTACGGACGTCCAGAAGAACAAATCAATTTGTCTCTGAAGAAGTCCTGCCAGAATGCTCCTTAGAATCGAAGATGTTAATATTGTCTCACATACTTAGTGTATATTATCAACAGTGGCTAGTCTCTTGAGAAATCCATCACTCTTGATAATGCAGAAGTTCAATGAGAATGAGGAAGCCCTTCAATGAGATGAAGGGATACTGTGCATTCAACCATGAGTTCACATAACCAATCTCTGAAGGTGACAGTGGACAGTGTTTTCTACACAGAAGGGTCACTTCACTATTAGTTGGAACTGCTTGATGGCATCTAAGACCAACCACATTATCACTCATTGGTAGCTTAATGCTAATAATTAAAATACCAAGAGAAACAGAACTTAGAATTTAAAAAACAACAACACAAAATTACTAGATTAAAAACGTAATAGAAAAAGACAAAACCAAAAATCTTAAAATCACTAAAGGAAAAGATTGGTGGAGTTTACTCTATTAATGCCTATAAATTTATTTAAATATTCCAGTAACAAAAAAGTCAACGGATATTAGAGGCAATTAACATTATGTTTGCCAATAAAACGGACACACATAAAACATGGATCATTAAGGACTGCTGACAATGGTTTGAGAAATGGTTATTTTTATATACTGCTGGTAGACATATGTATCTTGTGATTTTGTGAATGGCAATGTTGTTGTTAGTGTATGCCACTGAGTCACTTGGGACTCATAGTGATCCTATGTGTAACAGCTCTGAACGTGGCCCTATTCTGAGCCAGTCTCATTAACTCTGACACACTTACCCTTATTACCTCAGTTACTACATCAACCCATGTCATTCAGGGTCTTCCTCTCCTGTGCTGTCCCTCCAAACTTTTGAGCATGATGTCCTTCTCCAAGGACTGGTCCCTCCTGGCCATATGCCCAAAGTATGTGAGATGGAGCTTCAAAACCCTAGTCTGTAAGGACAAACCTGGTTTTATCCTCTCCAAGATAGACTTATTTGTTCTATAAGCAGTCCATCATATGTTCAAGACTTTTCTCCTGCATCACAACTCAAAGCCATCGATTATTCTTCTGTCATCCTTAGTTATTGTCCAGCTCTCTTATGCCTAGAGAGTAATTGTGAAGACCATGGCCTCCATTAGGTGCACCTTAGTCTCTAGACTTAAGATTGATGCTTCTCATGATAGTTTGAATGTAGCAGTATCTTTCAAAATATATTATGTATACACATTCACCTCAGAAATTCCACCTCCAAACCTCTACCTCGCATTCTTTAACATGTGCACAAAAAATATGATATAAATATTTACCAGTGTTTGTCGAACAAAGGACTAGAAACTCAAAACACTGACTGCAAGCATATCAGAAATGATGAGGATGGTGCAGGATTAGGCAGAATTCAGAGATTTAAAGAATGGTGCAGGATCAAGCAAAGTTCACATTTATTGTATGCAGAGTGGCTATGAGTCACAGCCAACTAGAGACAGCACTTGAAAACAGCAAACAGGCATTTCCAAAACAAAAAACTCAGTCACTAAAAAAACCTATGGAGTACATAGAGTAGACATGAGCCAGAATCAGCTGAAATAGATTGTTCCTATCCCTTTTATGTGCACACTGTGTTCAGACACATTCTGTTGTGTCTGAAGTATCCATTTACGTTCCCCAAATACTCTCCTGGACGAACCAAGAGTTCTGGTGGTTTAATGGGTAAGGAGCTGTGCTGATAACCCAAAGACAACTGGTTATAATCCATCAGCTGCTCCAAGGAAGAAGGATGTGCAATCTCCTCTCATGCAATTTACAGCTCTGAAAACCTACTGGAGGGTCAGCTGTGAGTTGGTTCTGACTTGACAATGAGTTTGGGGTGCATGATCTCTGGGATACCTTTTAAATGTCTGGTTTGGAGCTAAAGTTACAAATAGTGCTTAATCTGTAAGCCACTAATCTATGATTCTCACCTCACGGTCTGATCGTCGAGGGCATAAGGCATCCACTTCATCGAAGAATATCACACAGGGTGCTGAGTTCTTGGCTCTCTGAAAAACCTGTCGCACAGCACGTTCACTTTCACCAACATACTAGACATACACAAAAAGGAAAGAAAATGGAGAGTTCATCTTTGGGGTTCAGACCAAGTTATGATGACAAGTTATGCTAGTAAAAAAAAAGTATCAGATAAACCCATATGGAACTGCTAATATTTAATATTTTTTTTAATCCACAAAAGCTGCAAATTTAACGGAATAAAATTAGTCAATGCTTAAAATTATGACAAATGTCTTCATTCATAAAGCAAGAATTGCCTTATGGGGTACACACGTCCTAGGAAAAAAATTTCCAGAAGTGTACTGTAGTTTAGAAGTGATCTCCTCAACCTTATATACCTAAAACACCTGGTAGTAAATTTCATTAGTTTAACAGAATTTTAAATTCTCACAGGATAAAATATATCAGTCACCGTTGGAGGAAAAACCTACCATATAGTTGTCAAAGGAGAAATTTAACAAACTCGATCATAGCCATAAGATTACCTGAGAAATACAACTCTACATCAGCAGATATCACTATATGAAAAGCTACATGTAAGGACTTAGTTTTGTTTTTAGTATGGCATTAGAAACTGTTCTTAGAAACTGTGAAGCTAGTTGATGATGAAAAACCAGTTTTTTCTTAAGAAATTGGTTAAATGGTCAATAGACACATGAAGAAATGCTCAACATCACTGCTAATAAGAGAGATGCAAATCAAAACCACAATGAGATACCATCTTATCCCAGTATCAGTGGCACAGTTTAACAGGACAGCAAGGAATAAATGTTGGAGAGGATGTGGTGAGATAGGAACTCTTATATACAGTCAGTAGAACCATAAAAAGGTACAACCACTCTGGAAGGCAGTTCTGCATTTCTTCAAAAAGGTGAACATGGAAACTCCATATGACCCAGCTATTCCACTTCTTGGAATATATCACAAGAAAATGAGAACTGAGACACACAAATGGAGATCCGTACACTAATATTAGCTATAATAATAGCTGCATTATTCACCACAGCAAGAACACAGAAACAGTCCAAATGTGCAATCACAACTGAATGGACTACATTCACACAGTGGAATACTACGCAGAACTCAGAAGCAACAATTTTGAAAAATATCCATAACCTGGGAGAAGCTGGAGAGCATTATGCTGAGTGAACTAACTCATTCTCTTAAGGACAAATACTGAATAAGATTATTATTGTAAAAATAGAAGGATAACTAGTAAAACATGTAAGGGAACTGAGGGGGTAAGGTGTGGGAGCAGAGGGGCAAGACTGAGTAGGGGTGAAACCACAGGGTTACACAGTGTGGTGGGTAAAGAGAAGGGGAAGGAAATAGGAAGGATCTGGGTGAAAACAGTGTAACGATGGACAGGGTTCAATGGTGATTAATTTTATAAAACATAATGCATGGGAATGATTGTATGAAACACAGTGTGCACAAAGAGTAGTATATGATCTTTGTAAGCAAACTAATATAAAATAAAAATAATAAAGAGGGGAAGTCAGTATTCTCAAAAAGCTACCAATATATGAAGAAATACAGAAATAAAAGGGGGGGGAGGAAATAACAGCTAATGTTAAAAAAAAATCTGTTGTGGGGAGAGAAGTGCAGCAATGAATGAATGGAAATACAAAATCTCTGTAAATGTTCTTTAAAATTATTTTAAAATTTTTTTTAAAAAATCTGTTAACTAAAACAGAATCAGAAAATAATCTGTAGAGTGCCGACTATGCCGTAATGACTCTGTGGCCATGATGAAGGAAGGCATTTAGAGCAAGACTACTTCACATTTAATTAGAATAGAACTCTTTCCTCACATCTCCTGCACTATTCTCTCTACTTTTGCTTATTCTGCATCTATTACTTAAAATGTTTTTCCAATCTACCTCCAAATAGTGCTTCTTCCATTCTGAAATATCCCAATTTCCCTTTCTCCCCATTACATTCCCTTCTTTGCTCTTGTTGCACTTTTCACTGTTACAACAGCTGAGCTGTTCTGCCTTCAAGGGACTGTATTACAAGGTCCTCTGAAAACAGGTAATGCCATTATCAGCCAGCTTTTTCTCTATCACAACATCCTAAGCAGTGTACAAATATAGGTGATTGATCTAACTGCTTGAGAAATCAAATATGACAAAAATTGTGTTTGAAAAGCTGAACCGAAATGTTCACTAGATATTTTAAAAGGAAAGATTATCAGTGGGTTGGAAGAGATAAAGTTTCTGATGATGTAGAAGAGAGCAAGGAGACTCCAGATGGAGGGCCCTAAACAAAACTATTAGGTAAAAGGAATTTTCATGTGGAACTCATTTTCAAATTCTCATGGGATCCAGATTTTCTGGAGCCACTGAAGCTGGATGAACCCATGAATTTAATGCCCTAAGATAATCTTTAAACTTTAAAACCAAAAACATACCTTAAGACAAATTTTATACCACAACAGTTTGGTTTAAAAAGTGAAGCAAAAAAATTGTCTGCTTAAGCATTATGCTGTTTTAGGAATGATTTTTATGAGGTCACAAAGACAACAGAGCAGCTGAACATTAGATGGGAAGGTTTAGGTGAAGTGAGTTCATGTTAGTGGAGAAGGAACAATCTGGAAAAGGAGGGTGATGCCACTGAATTGTCCATGGCAAAATCATTAAGCTGATGTATGCTCTACTGTGTATGTTTCCAACAACAACAAAGATAAAAAGTAAAACTAACCAGAGGTAAATCAAGTCAGGAGAAAGACAAATCATTTTGAAGGATAGATGAAAATAAATTTTAACAAAAGCAACACTGATAAAAAATAACCAAATGAAATAAAATCCTGCTCTTTTAGTCTCCTTTCTTAGTAAGAGAAAAGCAAATTTTATTATTGAGCAAGTAATAAACTAGAATTTGAAACATGACCACAATCCACCAAAGAAACTGTTCAACTTGGCCTTTGAAAAGAAACAGTCCAAATAAAATCATGCTTTTCTTACCTTTCCTTATTTGCCATTCAGTTTATAATCACTATAATCTGCCTTTAACAAACACATTATTAAAATTAGCCTCCCTGAAGTTACCCAACAAGCTTCTAACGTCCTGTATGTTAATGAGTTCAATGTTCCACTCTGAGTGTCTATTCTGCTGTCAAGTGTACCTAAGTCTTGGGTCTCCTCCAATCCCTCATTAATCACTTTCTCAGAGGACTTCTTCTCATGCAATGTACTTGTCCTAAAACACCTAATCAGTTGTCAGGTTTTATTGATTTAAAATTTTTATATATTTTGTTATTAAAATAGACACACACAGCACATATTCCCCAATTTGACAGTTTCACATTTCCTCCTCCTACTGGACTTCACTGTATCTGTCTTTAACCACCTTCACTATCCTCCAACCTCTACCTACATCTGCCTTTGAAATTTTTCTGCACATCCAGCCTGAAAGCCAAATAAGACACATTTCTCTTCATATCTACCTTTGAAAGTGTGCACAAGGATATATGTATATAATGATGTATGTCAATCTAAATGTTAAAAAAAACCCTGTTATTTTTTAAAAGGGTCATTACATTCAACTTCCACAACTCTGAAACAAGAATCACATTGTGCCGGGCTACCGCGACCTCTAATAAGGATCACAGTAGGAGGTCCTGACTAGAGTAGAGGAATATGTAGAGAAGAGTCAGAAACATAAAGAGGATCAGGCTTATGGGTCCTATAAAGACAGGTGGGCCTTGGTAGCTTCTCAACATGGAACAAAAAATTCACTCCCATAACTTAATTTTGACCAAAAGAACAGACAGTGCCTATAACACCAGGAAGGCACTCATTCCTCGGAATAACCAATCACATGGATTCTAAAGGGCAGCCTTTACCCAAGGAAGAGGCTAGGAAGAGGTAAGAGGTTTCAGTCATTCAACGGAACACCAAAGAGAAAATTAACATCATCTACTTGTATGAAATTTCAAACTGAAGCTAAAAAAAAAAAAAAAATTAAATCAACGAAAACCAAAGCTCAACCTTGAGTCTATCCCTCCTGAGGTAAAGAGCATCTCAGGAGCAGGACTGAGGCCTTAGACACTAATGAACAAGGACAAGATGAGCTGGGTGAGGATATTAAGAATATCATCCATGAAGAATACAAAAAGTCATTACAAAA